CCCGACGTTTTTCCTACCCTCCATAAACTTCTTAAACCACTCGAAAACTTGCGTGCGAGATAGACACTGATCACCATATACTTCTGTCAACAAATTGTAAGTTTCAGTGGCAGATTTTCCAAGTTTTGTGAGGAATTTGATGTTAGTACGTTGTTCTGCATTAGCACTCAGCATTATTCCGTCAGAGCTCAGAAACACGATCCGCTTCTAACAATGGTCGCGGCCAGACTAACCGATGCACGTGAATGAAACTTTGTGTGACGGCTAGAGGGAAGTCCAAGGGTCAATGCCCTACCCTCCTCTTCGTCAATGACGTGGCCGGAAATGAGTCATAAAAGTAATCCGGGTTCTTTATTGCCACACCTTGTACTTTGTTAATTTTCTTTCCTTCTTTCTCTTATTTTATTTTATTTTTAATTAATTTCTCAATTTTTTTATTTTTTCATAACTTTCTCATTTCTCATTCCTTCTATTTTCCTTTCTTTCTCCTCTCATCCATTCTTTCCCCTTCACTCTTACTTTATTTTTTTCTCTCTCATTCTTCCATTGTGTATCAACTTTTTTTCGTTTCTTTTTAAGAGGAATGGCATCTCCAAACAAGCATATGAAACCAGAAACAGTTATTTCCATGATGTTTGTAGTTTTTTCTGCACTGATTTTTCTAGAGTACCTGTCTCTTAAGCTACATTCTATAGTACCTGTCTGCCATACTACATGGGGTATCTCCATGACCATGAAGGAACTTCAGACTGACCTGTTACTGACATAGCTTATTTTTGTGGTGCCAGGTAACATTGCTACAGATTTCTGTTCCTTCTCGAACCGATGTGAAAGAGTATCAGGATCTGAAGGAAGAGATGGACCAGCTTGTAGGGCGTATCAATGGCAGCTTCACCACTTACAGCTGGTCGCCAATTCGTTACATCTATGGCTGTGTGAGTCATGATGAGTTGGCTGGTTTTTACCGTGATTCTGCTGTGGCCCTTGTGACACCCCTGCGTGATGGTATGACAGTTTTAGTCTTATGGTTACAGCATTATTCGGCCCTAGATTCCGGATTCTGTTAAGTTACCTCACTTACAGAATGTTTAGATAGAACTGAGTCCATCAGGACTTAAGCTGAGCCTCCATGTTCCTCGCACTGGGGCATTACGTTAAACTTGCCGCCTGTGGACATTATCCATCATCTTGGGTTGTTTAAAACTCTGCATTTTCGAAACTGGATTTATTTCTGTCTTCAGGTAATTTGATTTTAGCTCCTCCTATAGGGCAGTTTCAGTTTCACTTTCCTGCAGTTTTCTTTCTTAGCTTTTATTTGCTTTCATCTCTTCTTATCTCCTGCTGATGATATTTGACAGTAACAGAATAATATGCATTCTGCTTAGAACTTCTTCCGATGTCAGTTAGTTAGTTAGTTATTGGAGAGGGTGGGTTTCCCCATGCACTTAGACCTGTATTGGTGCATTGTGCTTCCCTCTATGATTTCTACCAGTCTCTATATCCTACCGGTACTGGTGCTTACCATCAGTCCCGCCCAGCCAGCGAGACCGGCTCTACTAGCTGAGAGGTATCTCTAATGCTTCCCCCATCTACCAGAGGTATTAGAGACTGCTGTTGGGCGGGAAACATCTGTAATTTGGCTCAGTGACCTCCTTTGGAGATATGAGGTTCTTTTGCGTGCCGTAAAGCTACGACACGGGACCCATGGCTTAAAGTCCCTCCCGGAGGACTTGTTCCCTGAATTTTTCCGCCCTTAAAAATTCGACGACCTCCGCCGGGTATTTGAACCCGTGTACTACAAGTCATTAGGTGGGAACGTTACCTCTAGACTACGGAGGCCGCTTTGGATGTCAGTTAATTGAGATTTGTTCTTTCAAAGAAGTTCAGCTGTGTAGACAACATCCCCCTTCCTCATGTAATGACAGAAACGGATCCATTTTCCAAAATGTTGTCTTAGAACAAAACCCAAGATGATGGACAATGCCCGAAATAATAGATGTGTTTATGATAAGTGGTTTCTTGCCCTGGGAAAACTGCCTTTCATTGTGTTCATAGTGCTGGCCCTCTGTATGTAGATTGGAGTAACTGGAGTCCAGGTGGATGGGATGACTTCTGCACATACAGACAACGGGTTTGCACAGTCAGCGTAATGACTGCACAGACTGGAAGATCAATGAATCAGGATTTGATTTTGTCAGGAGCAAAAGATATTTCTCTTCTCTCACAGCATCCTTATTGGGGCCCACCCAGCCTCTTAGCCAGTGAGTGTCGGGGGCTCTTTCCCTCAGGAAAACATTTCTGGGGGCTGATCCAGATCACTCATTTTTATATACCTACACTCCCTTATGTCTTTATGTTGTATTTCTTACTTAAGCACAGAATCAGCTTTGCTTTTCTATCTTTACAACATATGCCTGTGTCTGTACTAAGGATCCTTGTACTGGGTAATTGAAAAGTTATATTAACCATGGAAAATGATTCTAAAAGTTTGTGATTATGGAACATTAATACAAATATTGTTTCTGGAAATTATCCATTATTTTTATTTAAAATGCAACGTTTTAGAGACTGGATTCTGTTTCCATCTTCAGGTAAAACCTCATTTGTGCTCAATTGATAGAGCTAGTCCAGAATCATAATATATGTATGGAAAATGCTTGTTTAATATGTAACTTCACTGATATTTCCCCTAACATTGCAACATGCACATGCTTAAAACTCTGTTTCTTGCCTTGTACTAATGTTTCACTCCCTTCAACATTTAGAAAAACAGCAAAAAGTTGTTTGAGTTGTATGTGAAGCAAGCTTCATAGTATTGTGACATATTACCTTATGTCCATCACCGCGACAACTGCTACAATCGGAACGGACACTTCCACAGCAACGAATATGTGGAAACTGGAGTTCCCACAGCGACAAATCGTAGTAACGAATTGTCATTGAGTAACAATGGGAAATACTGCACTTCCTAAGCAACAGATTGTTGAACCAGAATAATACACTTCCACGATAACGAGTCAGTCTTCAGAAGGCCGCTGCCGAAAGCAGTATAGTATTGGCCAAGATACAGCGGAAGCAGTAATTGTGATACTGCAAGTCATAATAATTGTAAAGCGTGTGAGTGTATAAGTGAAGCACAATAAAGATTTGCAAAATCCGAGACCCACGTGAAGTTATTTGTCGCGTGACATACCCAACACGTGACAGTATTTTTGACTCTGTTCTCCTGTCTTATTCAATTACAGGTGTAACTTAATTTAACAATTAATGTTACTATGACTCTAGTTAACATGATCAGACCTTCCTTAAAATATGAATAATGTTCTTTTAGTCATTAATTAATATTAAGCTTTTTCTTGATCTCATAACTGCATGTCAATAGGAATGAACCTCGTAGCCAAGGAGTTTGTAGCATGTCAGATCAACCAGCCACCTGGCGTTTTAATTGTGTCTCCATTTGCTGGAGCTGGTGAAACGATGCATGAAGCTCTGATCTGCAATCCGTATGAGATCAATGAGGCTGCTGAGGTTCTACACAGGTTTGTTAATATGCCTCCTCATGTCCTGTAAAAAATTGTGCAAAACAAAACCCATTGAACTATTATGTTGTATAACACAACAGTATATTTCTGCGTAACTAGCACAGATTATTTCGTCTGTGAAATTATTTTCCCCCTCTGTTTTATTTTAGATTGTTATTAGTTAACTGTGTTCGGGGATGAGACTCAATGCAATTTGGCAGATAGGTACCAAAATTTTGAAGAGTAGAAAAGCTGAAGGTGAAGGGAGTTGGCTCCTCCAAAATCTACCAAACTGTACTGTGTCACATCCCGGAAGACAGAAATCTTCGTGCTCAACACAACAGGAAACTCAAATCTCACATTGTATTATGTGTTCAGGAATTTATTGAAGGATTATAAACGACGCATTGTAACCACTGGCTCACACTTCTCATTATGTGTTTCTGCAAATATCCATCAATGCTTGCACACCTTCAAGCACATACATACCTATATGAGGTGCTATTGGAAAGTTCCTGGACTAGGTCAAAAGAGAAACGCTGGCTTAACTTACTCAATTTTGGCTGCCATCTCTTTAAAAATAGTCTCCTTGGGAACATATACAGCGATTCTATCACCTTTTCCACCCTTTGAAAGCACCGTGGGAGGCATTTTCCTTATTGCTGTTGAGTATTGCTTGCGATTCCCTTTGGGTGTTTCAAAATGTCATCCCTTCAGTTTCATTTTCAGTTTGGGAAACAAAACAAAATCAAAGGGGGTAGGTTCAGTGGGTAGGGAGGATGGGGAATGATAACCATGTTATGATCCTAGAGATAAAAGTTTGGCCCTTGTTAGCTTTCTCTCGTAGCTCAAGACACATGTTTATGCGCTGTTGTGTTTGATCATTTATCAAGGGTTGGGGAACAAACTTCATGGCAGTGTGGTGCATGTTCAAATCTTCTGTTAAGATCTCCTGGCAAACTCCATAACTCTTCTCAGTGGTGTCTGCAAGCTCATAGATTGTTCAGCGATGGTCTTTGTGGATGAGTTCTCAAACTTCTTCAACATTTTCTGTAAATTTGCTGTTGCTTGGTTACCCTGAACATTCATCATCTTCATCTGACACTCAACTGGCCTTGAAATGTGAATACCATTAAAAAAACTGCTGTTTGGTTTAAAGAATATTCTCCAAAAGCCTCATGAAGCATTTCAAGGGTTTTTGTAGCAGATTTACCGAGCTTCACACAAAACTTGATGCAGATACATTACTTGATCTTGCCATCCATCACAGACAAAACAAAACATGAAGTCGAAAAAGCTCTCGTGTAAGAACAATGTGTGTTCACAGTGTGGTGTCATGTGGCAGACAGATGCAGTAAGCTTGCAGAAGTGTGACCTTGGCCTCCCCACTCATCTTCATTCACCGAGGCAGTTACAACAATAACAGTCTGGGAACTTTCT